ATTTCGAATACTTTTAATTTACACCGGAATTAAGTATTATATAAACTTAAATATTAATAAGAATATTTTTAAGATAAGCTCAAAGAATCGAGACTGTGTCTAGATATTAAAGAGTATTAAAAATAGATAAAGAAAATTTGTTAACATGCAAAATTAAAAATAATTTAAAGTAAAAAGTAAAGATATTAAATATAGAAAAGTAATCGTATTACTATTTTTAATATTTTAGACTGATTTTTGTCTTCAAATGGTTAAAACAAGATGGTTAAACTAAATTATTCAAACAAAAAAACTACGGTTTATATAAAAAATAATCGCATTATTTTTTTTTTATTACCTGTCATTACGTTAGATTATTTTTAAATCTTGTTTCTTTGGTTGAAAATGTTACTACTTCTTGATTAATTGTAATTGTAACCAGTCGTCATTAATTAAAAAGTTAGAAATGCCGATAGGTAAAGCTTATTGTTAAAAAAATATTAAACTTATCAGTAATAATTGTAATTAATTTTCCTTTTACTTAAATTTATTTCTTACGAATTTCAAACATTTGTATTTAAAATGGAATTTGGTTAATAAAATTTAAAAAAAGCTGATTGATTCTTAGTTTTAAGTGTAAAATATCAAATTTGAGAAATCATTACAGTAAAATTGTAACCACGATTTTTTACATTTTGCATAATTGCTTTGAAAAAGTTACCGTTTCTAATCAGCAAAATATCTGTGTATATCCTCGAAGTCAAACCAATTACTCCAAGCAAGTCAATATTCTCATCTCATTATTATTCGGTCAAACATGGGTAGCTCTTCTAATAAATATGAAATTGAGCTCTATAATTATTTATTTATGAAATATAAAAATTTGGTTAACCGAAATCAACCACCGGAAACGCGTTTTCTCACTCATCCAGACAACCCTTTCCAGTAACAACACATACACATATACATATTTTTATACACATAACACCGCAACAACATAAATTATTCGTTAATTTTTTTACTCACTTGTGAAGGAATTAATTTGAAAGCGTTGACAGCTCAAATTTAAATTTGTATGCATTCCTCAAATGTTTGAGAAAAAAAAATATTTTAATCAGTTATAGAAACAAATCGATTCATTTTTTTATGCCTTTGGCATTATGTCAACTTTAAAGAATTAATTAACCTTTATAAAAATGTTTACAATAGAATTAAGCCGCGCGCAGAAAAACGGCATTTCAACATTACATAATACATATGGCACACACAAAATAGACTGATAACACATTAACATAAAAGTGCAATTGATTTACCATACCAAGAGAATAAAGATCCTTTGAAATCTATATACAAATATACATACATACACATGTATGTATGTATCTATGTGCGTAGCTTGGTAAGGTTGACAGAGAAGCTAAAATACGTATGCAAATTATCTTGGTGTACATGTACATATGTATGTATATACAGGGTTGTACATTTTATGGTAGACTATTTATTATACTTGTATGTACGTACATATGTTCTTGATATTTTCTTGTTACCACCACTCCCATTGTAGAAGAGTATATGTATGTCAGTACAAAACAAGAAAACACGTTAACTTCGGTAGCAGCGAAATCTGAATGGGTCATTCCCCAACTTTTAATAATCTAAAAAATGTTTCATGTTAATGGAATGTAAAACTAATAATAATAAATAAACAAAACAAAAAAGACATTAACATAAGAAAAATATTTTATGCCTCAAATTTCGATAATCATGTGATAGAATAATAATATTCTACAAAAAAAAAATTTTTTTAAAATAGAAAAAAAACTATTTTGCTACAATTCAAAAATTCATACCTTTGAAACGAAAAGAACACCCCTCTGAAAATTTCAAAATTTCTTTAGATATGTAAGAGTTATAATATAAAAAATTTTGGCATCCGCAAAGGTTACTTTTAACGATTTTCCACAATTCAAAATTTTTTAATTTTGGTAATTTTCAATATTTTTTTCAAAACAATTTTTTCCCATACCTCTAAGTGTCCTTTGAAAACTCACCAGCGTTCTTTGTTTAATATACAATAGTTTCTGAAATAAATAAACTCATAAAATCGGAAAAACAGTGAAATTTTCAATTTCGTACAGCTTTTAGGAAAATTAAACATTTTTTACTTTGGCAGAACTTCGTTTTATGATAAGACAAAACTTTCCACCAAAATTCATTCGAATCTGTGGAGCCGGGTCCAACTATTTGTCGATTTGACATGGAATGACCCTAATAACCTTCACAATTACAAAAGTTTCCTTACAAGAACTTGATTCCAATCGTTCAGTATCGGCGGTTCCGACAAATGAGCACCTTCTTGGGAAGAAAAGTACATGTACAAAATATCAGATCGATATCTTAAAAACTAAGGGACTATTTCACATATATACAGACAGACAGACGAACATGGCTAAATCGACTCAGCTCATCATGCTAATCATTTATAAAGGGTGTTTTTTTAGAGGTATAACACTTTAATTTGCAATAAAACCACGATGGATTATTCGATTGGCATGAATTTTATTTATCCGAAAGAGCCACGGCTGGCTCGGATGTAGTCCAATCTGGACGTCCAATTTTCGATGACCTTTTCCAACATTTGTGGCCGTATATCGGCAATAATACGGCGAATGTTGTCTTCCAAATGGTTAAGCGCTTATAGCTTATGCGCATAGACCAATGACTTTACATAACCCCACAGAAAGTAGTCTGGCGGTGTTAAAACACAAGATCTTGGAGGCCAATTCACAGGTCCAAAACGTGAAATTAGGCGGTCACCAAACTTGGCTTTCAATAAATGGATTGTGGCACGAGCTATGTGGTATGTTGCGCCGTCTTGTTGGAACCACAGCTCCTGGACATCATGGTTGTTCAATTCACGAATGAAAAAGTTAGTAATCATCGCTCTATACCGATCACCATTGACTGTAACGTTTTTTAAGAAGTACGGACCAATGATTTCACCAGCCCATAAAGCGCACCAAACAGTCAGTTTTTCTCGATGTGACGGTGTTTCCACATACATTTGGGGATTAGCTTCACACCAAATGCGGCAGTTTTGTTTGTTGACGTAACCATTCAACCTGAAGTGCGCTCGACGATAGAATGAACGTAGTGCGTGATTCGTATTCCGCACAGAACCATTATTTTCGAAATAAAATTACACTATTTGCAAGCGTTGCTCTGGCGTGAGTCCATTCATGATAAATTGCCAAACCAAACTGAGAATAAATCACTTGACAGCTGTTAAATCGGTCGTCATCTTGAACAATAATGCCAACTTAAAGTTCTATACCTCGAAAATAAACACCCGTTATATACATTTAAATGGTATCTGACGTATCCTTCAGGGTGTTACAAACTTCGTGGCAAACTTAATATACCCTATTCAGAGTAAAAAATACCACTTTCGCTATTCATAAATAAATGAAATTTTGGAGACTGTCTGTCTACAAACCCATATGTACAAATAGTACGTAAACAATGTATACTTGTATATAAAAATAAAAATAAATATTTACTTGTAAATACTAGAAATTCCTGACGGAAGTAGAATTAGTCACTAAACTACCAGTTTGCAAAACCTGAAAATAATCCAGTTCGAAAAAGAACTAATTTGTAGCAGTCATGCAACTATTTATTAATGATTTATTTTATTTCACTTAAATGATTTATCTAGTTTATTAGGAATTCATTTCACTGAAATATACAGACGTGTTCTTGAAATTTTATCAGTTTGTATACCATTTCCGGCACAACGTTTGCAAATATTACCAAAATAAAGGCAGCCAATAATCCAATATTCGATCGACATAATCGCCCAGCTCAGTCGGTAATTCGATCAATTAAAAATCGGTTTTGCACCACGTTTAGCCCATCCTCAAAGACGCCGTACAGTCTGCACTGAAGACGCTATTGCTGATGTGGAGCAGAATATCGAAGAAGACCCGAATGAGTACATCCGCCATCGCGCGCAATTAGGGCTGTGCCCATTCACTTTATGGAAGATTTTATGGAAAGATCTTGGTTTGCGGGCTTACAAAATTAAACTCGTGCGTGCATTGAAGTCGAACCATCTTACGTGGCACGTTCGGTAAATGGGCTCAACACAAGATAGCCACCGTTCCAGGTTTTCACAGGAACAGTTAAATCCTCAAAAGTGCACTGTTTGATTTGTTATTGCCGACATACGGCCCTAATTGCTGCAAAAATCATTTTTCGAAATCATTTTTAAAATTTTATTTCTTCTTGAAAACCCCTTTTAGAACATTTTTTACAAGTCTTACGTAGATTAAGATCCCTTTTTTTACTTTCAAAAAAAGTTGTTAAAGTTAAGTCCTTTCTATGATGATGCAAGCCACAACTTTTTTAACGTAACCAAAAAAAAAAAACAAAGAATTAATTTCTTTGAGTATAATTATCAATTAGTTTCTTGAAATACACAGTATTTCAAATTAAATTATAATTGATTACCTGTTGTCTTTTATTGAGCTTTCCTAGTAGAAACCCGACCATGTCGAAATTGCGGTCTGCGTTGTAAATCTTTAGTAAATAAGTATGTAGGTATGTATAATCGCATGGACACAAAACCGTGTTTATTGACACGCAAACATACTTGTATATATATTAGGGTGGTCTTTAACTATTTAAATTACTAATATTTATCTTTCTCTAGAACCTCAATAAACAAAGAAAGACCAAACAAGATCAACAAATTTCCTCTGAATGACCAAATACTACAAATTTTCTTCCAACACTTAGTACCGCCTTGATGTACACACATGCATACGTACATATGTATGTGTTGATATTTTCCTTCCTTCAGTGTCATACGCTTTGACCTAGAACTCTGAATGTAAGAATGCACTGCATCGATGCAGAACAAAAGGATTATTGTTTACAATCTTTCCACCAGATTAGTTTTCGCTGTCTCAGCGCTACCGTTGTTACAAAAGACGCCGAATCGTAGGGAAGACACTACAAGTAGATTTACCTTTTTCACAGTGAACAGAGGAGAACGTTTAGCAGAGCAAACCAGAGTTCAATGAACGCTGCAACAAATATTTGTTGTAAATGTGGTCTAACTCACGTATACTCAGAGTGTGAGTGTATGTATGCACGTATGTACCCCTATCTACAAACAACGGTATATGCAAACATATGCACTTTCGTATGTTTCACTTCAACAGCAAGGTACATAACAACATTACCATAATCCTGTCTCACTAGCGAAGAGTTATAAAGTCTATTTGTCTAACAGACAAAAGACACCGCTATTATTTAATATTGTTTTCGAGAAACTTAGAGGTGTGTGGAAAAGGAATATTTTCAAAAGGTAAAGTTTATCAGTTACTCAAAATAATCGTTTTGTTTTGATGCTAAAAAAGCGGCCGTTCATTAAAGATTCTTGAAAGGATGTAAGTATGTAACTTTTTTGTTGCGGACAAAAAAATGTTTCTCTTGCATATTAGATAATTATTTTTAGTGTGAACTATAACATAATAATTAAATAACTAGAAATTTTTAATTAAAAAAAAGGTTTTTTGAAGCCATTACACGTCAATTTAAAAAAAAAAAAGAAAATTTTAGATTATAATTTCGATATAAAACTTTTTGGTAGTTATTGTTCGAAAGTTTAAGGCATTTGGCCACTAGGGTGGAGCGAAAAATAATATTTTTTTGTGCTTAGCCTTAGGGTAAAATTTGTAGATTATAAAAAACAACATTTTTGGAAAAAGAAAATTTTTGTAAAAAAATACCTACAACTGTTTGTTATTAACACCTACAAACTGTTTGTTATTTATATCTCGACAAATATTTCCGAATTATTTCGGGTTTTGTATTTCCATTTACAAAGAATTCCTTTAAAAAGAGCTACGGCGTCTAATTGTATTGAATTGGCCTAAGAAAAGTCGTTTTATTGTACGAGATTATGGCAGCCTAGTTTTGAGCAGTAGGTTTAAATTAATCCATATATACTTTCTTTCTTCCATTTTTGTACCTGACAACCTTGGTATTCCACTATCAAAACAAATGCATATACGGACTTATTTAATCAGTTCACAACCCGCCTAAAGACGAGTGAACCAATCACGCATAAAAACTTTGTATCTGATATTCTTATAATTGAACTTCTCTTAGATGTATTTACATAACCACAAATACAAAGCGAGCATGTCCAGCATCCATGACCATCTTTTATTGAGCATAAGCCTACGTATGGTAGAAGTTCTAAAATAACTTTCGGCACTTTGTTCTTTGTACACACTGTCACACACACATTCTTATATATGGACAAGCAAAGACAAGTCAATATAACATGCGCTATAGAAATGTTAGCCATAAAATCCTTCTTCTTCAGCCATACACCCAACTCTATTCACCTTTTGCTATTCAGTCTGCAGCCGGCAAACGCAGTGGACGCATCAGTGGAACTGATTTGGCCTATACTTAGTGACTAAACTTGACTTGTGGATATTTGTTCAAACGAAATGAAAAGTTTAGAACTGGTTCAGCGCCAAGTTGCTGGAGGGGTTTTCTTGGCCTTATTGCTTTTACGAACGACAGCCAGTGGACAACCGGTTAATGATGAGTTGTCCGCGGACAATACAGACGCCAAAGTTATTTATGATCAAAGGCAAAGTGGTAAATACAATATACGCATCAATATTAAGGATGTGGCTATCATAGAAATGGATAATAGTGGCTTCGGTGATGTAAGTACAGAGGCGTTTTTTGTACGGAAAATATTTATATAAACACTATTATTATTTGTTGTTTTCTGATGCAGGAGAACTTTGGCGAGGAAGATTATTATTATGACGAAGAGGATTTAACAGTTAAGCCCTTGAATTTCACAAAACCGCCGAAAGTAACGACTTCGCATGAAGCGATTTGCTCAACAGCGTCGCAGCAAGTAGTAACCACACCATCGACCCAAACAACATTATTGCCAACAAAATTAGAAGAATCCACAAACATGAACTCAACACCAATTGCAACAACTATGAACCAAACAAATTATAATACAAATCTATTAACGGCGGCATCACAAGCAACACTAAGTGACACAACACAAGAAAGCATCGCGACCAGTTCCAGATTGCTACATTCAACTAAGTCGGTGTCTAAACCACGTTCACACAATAGAATTATTTCCAGATTATCAACAGCGCATCCAATAACATTGAAGCCATCACTTATCTCGCCAATTGCTGTTCAAGAAGAATCACCGAAGTTTTCGGGAACTTTACTAAAGGCGCAAAATCACCATCAGAACTTTGTAAACAAATTTAGCATGCTGCAAACCCCAAGATCATCGCTCTATCCGCCAGTTAAAGGTTATGGGCAACGCTGCCGAACACATCAATACCGCGACGTAAATGGAGGTTGTCGCAACAAGCGGTCATCTTCATTTTTGTAAGTATTATTTTGTTGAATTAATCGATTTATATATTTCAAACAATAAGGTGGAAAGGAGGTAATCGGTGGGTGTAAACGGATTTGAAGTATTCTCTTTAAGTAAGGGGGTTGATCCCCGCGATCCAAATCACAAGAGTTCTATTTCGATTGTCGAATTCTTGGTACTTGACAAAAACTCAAAGTATGGAAAGATGAAGGACAGAGTAATAAATATATTTACGGAGCACTTTGAGTCTATTACAAAATTATTGAGAGGGCTAACACCGATTATAGACTAATTGACCGGTACTATAAAGATATGACGTTAGAGATGTTTGAACCCCAGTCTAGTGAAAGCTGGACAATTTTGAAAAATGTGATGGGAATTTGGGGAGAGGATGCCTTTCTCGCAAGTTCAAATCTTTCCTACAAAAAACTTACTTCCGATACCAGCTCTGACTAATGTCAAAGAAAATAGTGCTTTTAAAGCGTCAAAAATGTATCGACACTAGTGCACATGATTTATTAACTAAAAGTTAATTTTAAGGCTTACGGCTTGGATACCGTTGGAATATTAAACAATAGCGTCCGAAGCGTATTTTCCGATATTAGCAACCACTTTCTCCTTTCAGCTTTTCTTAAATTGACGAAAACTTCTGTGATGGCTATGTCTTAGTTGTACCTGTATAAAACTCAACCCGAATATGTTGAATATGGAATTCTGTTGCTGAGGCCAAATATCAGGATTGAAGAAGTTCTTAAGCCAATAATACCTCTTTAGAAATTTATTCACAACTATTTGATCTTTTTTTGTTTGTCGTTTTACGGAAGTTATAATTTTGAGGAATGTTGCCAAGTTGATAGTTCTTGGTCGAATATAAACCAAGGCCTATTCCAGTTACTTAGATAAGACTGTCTTAGGTTCAACTTAGAATTTGTTATATGGAGTGATTGAGGCAAGATTTATTTAAATTAGTCAAAGGAAGGGGGCAATCAGGACTTTATAAAGTTTTAAAAAATTATAGAAAGATAGTGTGGATTATTTGTGTACGATATGTTTTAGTTATAAAGTAATTTTATCAGATCGGTCTAGTAGTTTAACAAATATTTAGATTCATGTGTGCCAACGCAACTTGAGATGACGCTTATTATTTAGGGCTTTAATTCCTGTTTTATAAGTGAAAAGAAATTTTTGCATGTTGATGAATCTTTAAAACGACAACAAAAAATGTTTTTGGAATTTTCCTCCCGAGAATAAACAAGTTTTGAAAATATTAGAGAATAAAGCCAGAAGGCTCATTGCTGTAGTTCTAGCCGGCAGGCAGTGGATGTTACTACTACTAATTATTTAATTGCTTTATATGCAAATATGAATATCTTTTCAGAAAAAAACTGCTTAGCATCATCGCCACGTTTCCTCTAGAGCTTGCTAAAGATACTCCAAATGAATGAGCGCACAAAGAAAGCACGCGATCCAGTTGAATGTACGAGCACACACATTTCGAATCATAAAAGGGAACAATACAATGTGAAAAATCCATAAGCAAATGTGTTTTATACATTATACATTAGGGTGAGCAGAAAAACTAACCTAACAAATTTATAGGTAAAAATGAACATACATATATACATATAAAAAAACAAGTTAAAAAAAGCTAACTTCGGTTGCACCGAAACTAAAAACTTAGCCTTCACAAATAAAGAAGTTGCCATACAATAACTTGATTTTGCTCGTTTATCATCGTTCAGTTTGTATGGCAGCTATATGCTATAGTGGTCCGATATCAATTCCGAAAATGTGCAAAATTTCAGCTCGATATTTCAAACAAAATCTACTCAGCTCGTTATGCTGATCATTTATATACGTACATATATATATGTTTTATAGGTTCTCCGACGTTTCCTTACAAACGTCGTTATAAACTTCGTGGCAAACTTAATATTACCCTGTCCAGGAAAAAAATATCCCTGCAAGGGAAATTTTGTATCTTAGGTTTAAAAGGTGTCGATGAGCATTCTAAGTTTCCCATATAAATAACACATCAAAAACTTTATAAACGATCTTTTTAATTGAAAAAAGTTCCCTGAAATCGGTTTTTGAGAAGCTTGTAGTTTTAATGAACTTTTCTTACGTGTTACTCAGTCTTTGAATGCTTACCGAGAATTTTTAAAATTAAGATACAAAATTTTCCTTGCAGGGATATTTTTTCTATGTATATAGATACATTTTAACCCATAAATGTGTTAGCATAGTTTTTGGCTCAACCTAATATACATGTTTACTAAGTGTATATATATATATTATATATGTATAAGGATTTCTTATTGTGCTTGTCATTTGTCATTTATAATAAATATTAAAATTCATAAGACATTGTTGTTTTTTGTTTTGTTATTTCATTGTTTTATTTTACTTCATCTCAACATTTTAGTGCAGTTCAGTACACATTATATAATATATTATTAAGATATATTGCAAATGATAAAAACGAGTACATATTTAGTTATGTAGTAAGTGTATATAAAAGAGGAAGTAGAGAGGGGGCAGAAATTCATTTATGACTTTAGGTAATTTTGTATGATTTTCGATTCAAATATACAAGTCTACTTAAGTGCTGTAAATTAAATGAAATTTTAATACTTTTAATACTTTAAACAGCTATTGAGTTTACATTATTTCCTATATATTTTGTTTTTTTAACTTCGATATGATTTTTGCTTTCAACGACTGCGTGAAAACAAACATGTTTTGTGTGAATTTAGTTATTGTATGCAAATTTACTGCAATTTTCTTATAACAAACAACAATATAGTGTCTTTTTATTACGAGCTTAGGCATATGGCATTTAGGAATCAATGTAAGTGTATATATGTATATGTTAAGTTTATAAATTTAAAATTTAATTCGCTAGGTCAACAGTTGTTGCAGTTTGGTAGACATAATTCCGCTTTAACTACTTAAATAAAAAAAAGAACATACATTATAGATTTCTCAATAAATAAATAATAATATATATATAGTTACATGCATACATAAATTTAAAAATCAATACCAACAAATTTCAATAATCAACACCAAAAACAAAAACCAAAAAACTATACCAAACTAGCACTTATGCAGAAATTTTCATTTTAATTAAATTATGTATGTGCATATGTTACGCATAAAAACGACTTACGCCATAATAAAAAAAAAATTTCTGCGCATGATTCAAAAGAAATCAAAATACCTAAATACATACAAAAATTTACATAAGACTTGAGAGTAAGGGTTAAAATTATTTAATACTCGCATAGTAATATCTACAGAATAAGAATAAAAGAGTATGTGTTACTAAACGACACAATTGTATGGGCATGTCATGAAGAACATCGTGATTAACACACGTTTTTTCCTACCTATCAACTATAATATCGTAAAACGCTACGATAGCTACATTCCATTTTTGTATTGTATGTTAGACCTATTACTAATATTCAGTGTTAGTAGTGTGTTAATTTCAGGTGCCAAACACGAGCAGTTGTGCGACATTGGATCCGTTTGTGTTATAACAACATCATTACGTGGACATTAAGGCTTGCGTACATTTAATATTAACTATTCATAAAACAACAAAAAAAACACCATTTTCATTAACGCAATATATCCACTTCTTTGGGTAATATGTTAGAATAATGTATTTAAGGCATTCCCGGCAAACCATTTAGACCCTGACGCTGCTGATGCATCATGTTCATGCGCGCACGATGCTGCTCCAACCGTTGCACAGTGGCGGCCAAATGTGCATTCTCCACATACAAATCTTTAACCAGCAAATCGGCATTCTGCAAGCGCTGCACTTGTTCGGCAATCATAGAGCCTTGCGTCTCGATGCGATTGTGCAGATCGGCTAGCTCCATTTGGTGCTGCTGCCACGAGCCTAGCGCGGAACAGAAGTGCAAAATGTTATAAATTTTTTTTTGTATTAATTAATATTGTTGTTGTTACTCACGTTGCATTAAGGATTCCGTTTGTTGTTGTTGCTGTTTGATAGCATTCTGCAAGTGACGATTCCGCAGCTCCAACTGATTTACACGCTGTATAACGCTCGGATGTGGTGTACGCTAGTTTTTTCATGGAAAAATATAAAACTTTGAACTATTTTGAAGAAATCTCATTTTTTCGCTTACAGCATAAGCCTTTTCTAGCACTGGGCGCGCTTCTTGCAGCTGCTGCAGTTCCATAACCAAGCCGTCCCTTTGTAGAGACAAATTCTTGACTTGCTCGCGCAACGATATCTCAAAGAACTTCAAGCGCTTCAGCTCCTCCTTCATGCCTAGACTAGATATGCTATTCTCTGTGCTAGGTGACTTCTTCAATTGTTGTTGCTGTGATTGACGTGCACTATGCGTGGATGCCGGGCTGTGACTTTCGGAGCTTTTGCCCGAGGCTGTGGAAGAGACCTCATCCGTTTCCGACTCAGACTGCTTTGATCCTGGGGGCTTTTGTATGGGTGCAATGGTGTCGACGGGCGTGGTGCTAAATATGGTGGTCTCCGATGTGGTTAGATTATTTCTAAAGCATATGAAGTTCGGAAAAAGTTGCAGATTTTTCGGTTTTTGATATGAGAAAGAATTCTTAATTTTTGTAAATTTGAAATTTTAGGTTAGATCGCAAGCGTCTGAAGGCCACGGCTAATCGAGTGATAATTATAAACAAGTTAATTATAAACTGATTCTTCTCGGTCACGTCAGTTGACGACGTACAAAGGTGTATGTCTAATAGTAGCCAGTAGAGCAGGTGAAAAAACATTTGAATGTAACTTCAGGTTTTTGACGGATTATATGATAATACCCTCAGTGAACAATAAATACACTTCCTCACCTCCACGAGGGTTACTTATGTAACTAGATAGAACCCAGGTCAAGGACTGCCAAGTTGGCAACATTTATAGAATATTTTCTGACGTCAAAAAACAACAACATATTATTTTATTTAATAAATATATTGGATACAGCCCTAAATGAGTAACTTAGACGGCACACCTAGTGTGAAATTAAATACAATATCTATTTTTTTCATATTTAATTTTAAATCGGTATCTCAAAGAGTTTTTGAGTTACAGCCTTCTACAATGTAACAAGCGGCTTAAGCAGTTCATCTGGGTGATTACTGGGAGAAAAGTTATCCTATCACTATCAAATTTTTGTTGCCTGTTCTGTATACTGTTCTTCATACAAACAGTTTTTTGATCTGATCAAAAGTCGCACTTCGTGGGTGGGTCAAAAAAGACCAAAATTTTGGGTAAAATTCAATTTTTTTTAAAGGACACTTTTTTAATCAATGTTCAATTTTGTCTGTTTAGACCGTAAGTCATTTTACGAACAGGATCTTCTCATAGAGAATTTAGTTCTTTTTAAGGTAACATCCACGGAGGAGGCCGGAATCACTGCAGCAGTGGAGTCGGAGATCGCGTCTAACTCAACAAATATTTTTTCTGTGAATTCCTAACATCTGAACGAGTATAAATATGCCCGTAAAAACAATTAATACAGTATTTTTAATTTTAACTCCTAAAAATCGCGAAATTATTAGGCTATCTACTCCTAATTAACCAAACTTTCGGCCAATCACACCTAATTAGCCTAATTTTAAGGCTGTCACGCTAGGTGTGCCCTTAACCATATGATTATGACAAAATATGAAGCCTTGACGATTACAACGACGCGATTATGGTATGTTCAATATTGTACCCGTGTAAATTTGGACTTTTGCCTACACTTTTACAGTTCAGTGTCTGGTAAGAGAAGGGTCAAACCGTTCCCACGACAGTCTGGTCTATGTAACCCGCGGTTACCGGATTCTTATGAACTCGCCAGAATTCATCAAAAATCTTTGGAGGGCGTTTTCTGCCGCTACAACAACAAGGAGGAGAAAAGCTAACATTTAAAGCAAGTAAATAACTCGTGAAAAATTCTCAAATTCACAGTTGCATAATAACAAATCGGCAAACCTTTTTTTATTTGATGCGACAATTTCATAAAAAGATAAGATAAACGGCTAAGAGCTCCGTTCCTTAAAATTGTTTTGCAGTATTTAAAGAAAAAACACAAAATACTCATCAACGCACCTTTAATAGCAAATAAAGCAATAGAATATTAACCAACCCATGTTAATAGCAACAACAACAACAATGCCACAAAATCTTATGATAATATTGTCTATGAGTAAGCAATGTGTAGGTATGTCCTCAATACAAAATCTCAAGAAAATATCATACTAAATAATTTTATTGTGGCGCTTTCTTTTATTTTTCTTATGTTATTTTGGTAAAAGTAGCTTTTGCAGCGCGAAAGCAATTGTTATAATATAAAAATCAATTTGGACCCCTGTAGCCTCACCGCGAAACCTTAATACAAGAATAAGGTTGAGTAAGGTTGCCAACCAACGCGAGAAATGGACAGTCAGTTGTTTTTATTTGTGCAAACAACCAAAAAATGTTAATTTTTAAAATATAAAATAACAATAAATAAGCAGTCTTAGCTTTCGAATTATTCACTTGC